CAGATTCTATGTGTAGAGGGTGGTCGCTAATACGGAGTTTACACATGGCTCTGCGGTTTTCAAAATTTGGAATGTCTAAATATGGTTCTCTGTCGTATAGTACTTTGAATGTTTTATATGTTCTCAGTTTGTTGCCTTGATTTTCTCTTTGTCCTTGTGCTTGTAGTGCTGAGTTGAATTTCTGGATGAATATATCTTTTAATCTTTGTCTTAGTTCATGCAGATGGAATGGTTTGTTAATATACTCGTGTGTATATAGGCAGGCATAGCCGGACTCCTCTAAAATTGTCTTCATGTTCAACAACCAACAGGGTACTTTATTTTTAACAAGGTCTTTTTGTACTATGTAAGCTTCATACTGAAGGCTTTCAACGGGAACATTTCTAACTAATCTATAATAATAGCTGTACAATCTACAATACGCTTCAATCCATAGGGGGAAGCGGCCAAGTTCAGCTCTACTGGCATAGTTACTAGCGTTTCTTCTTAATCCTAGAATTTGTTTACAGAATTTTTAGTGTGTTTGTTCAAGCGGCGAGTTATCATTTAATCTGTTGTTGCACCATACTTCCGCTCCGTACAATACTATAGGGACAACACACTGATCAAAAAGCTTACAGTAAACTGATATAGGAGCCCTAGTGTCTCCGAGAGTACATTTAATGCTAAACAACGCTCGTAGTGCCTTCTTTTGTAGTGATTTCATCGCTGTGTTAAAGTTACATCCAGCTGTAAAGACTATACCTAAGTAAGAATAAGACGAAACTACTTCTATGTCTTTGGAGAATAATTTAAAGCAAAGTTTTGAAAAGGTGTGTCCTTTCTTATTAAATACAATAACCTTTGTTTTATTTAGGTTGACAGTTAGTTTCCACTTTTGGCAGTATCTACCAAGCGTGTCTATTGCGTTCTGCAGGCCTTGTTGACTTTCGGACAACAAGACAATGTCATCGGCATATAGCAAACTTGTTACTTTTGAGTGGTGCAATAGCGGTGCGTTGATGTCTGCCATGTTCAAGTCGTTAACGAGGTCACTGATATAAAGGTTGAATAAGGTTGGACTCAATACGCAGCCTTGACGGACACCGATCTGGACAGGGAAGCTCTCTGTTAAACCGCTAATAGTTTTTACACGTGCTTCGGATTGGTTATAAAGACTTTGGATGATACTAAAACACTTGCCGGATATGCCTTTAGATAGAAGTTTGAAAAATAAACCTTCATGCCAAATTGAATCAAAAGCTTTGGACAGGTCAACAAAGCAAGGGTACAAACGTTTGCCCGATTGACTATATTTTGAGATTAATGTTTTAAGTATGAAAATGTTGTCTGAAGTTCTGTAGTTTTTCCGGAAGCCCGTTTGGTTTGGTTTGATGAGTTTGTTCTCTTCTAAGAATGTCGATATTCTTCTGTTTAACACTGATGTAAATAATTTACCCAGGCAGCTAGATATCGATATTCCACGATAGTTGTTCACTTCGTCCTTTCTACCCGATCTAAAAATGGGAACAATATAACTTTTCGACCATTCTTTGGGGAAGTTTCCTTCTGACAGAATCTGATTGAATAATTTAACTAACGGTGCCACTAAGATTGATTTTCCTGCTTTAATCATTTCATTAGTTATCATGTCTTCTCCACTTGCTTTTTATTTTTTAACAGGTGTATAACATTATTTATATGGATGCCATCCGCGCGCGCATGAAGTTTCGTCCGTTTCCAAAAAAAGGTTTTCGACCATACTGTATATCGTACAAGATGAGCGAAAATATGTCGTATGTTGCAAAAAAAAGTATTGAAGAACGATACTAATGTCATAGAATGCCGAAATCAATTCAGGAAAAGACGAAAATGTAAAAAATGAAAATGATGAGTCTATTATTATTTGCCATACCATACTCTGTGTGTTTAGTCATTTGTTCAACCTTTATGACCACGTAGATTTCATAATGAAGGAAATTTTTTGCCATTTTTTTTCATTCGCACGCTCGCGTCAGTTTTGGGGTTCAGAGAAGATGTCATCCATACAATCAAATCAACATGGCCTCATATAGAATGTGCACAAAATAGTATTATATTGCTTATAATCAATAGTCACTGCAATATATGAAGTTCTGTGCATACCTTATGCATTGTAAATG